AGGCTGGACACAGTGCTGACCACACTATCTCTTCATATATCGAGATCACAGAACTCAACTTCACTTGCCCTATGGACCGTTGGATTCGAAAAGGGAACTTTACTAAGTGATAGCAATCGTTAAACAATCTTTAAATTAAATTATTATTTTTTAATTAAGACATTTAGTTATACAACCGTTTAAATTACATCGCAGTAGATCGACTAAGTGACTCAAGATTTCATCGCAGGTAATCACTTCTGGTGAACGAAGTATGATTGGTAGTAAAGTTCAATGAAATGATAACTTTCGAAATTTAACTTGGTTTCTCTCAACATTTGCATGGCGCATTGCATGTATTCTGGGTTTACCACGTTCTAATTTATGATAATAATATCTGAATAATTAAATTCCTCTATATTTAAAAAAGAAACTAGCCATTTGGTATAGGTATGTAATGTTTAGCAGCAGTGTAAGGGGTTGCAGTGTGTAAAGTAGTATAGGAATGTAATGTGTAATAGTGTCAAGTGTTGTAATGTGTTACTTGTAACAAATGTCACATAAGGATACACTTCTATAATAAACAGCTTACGTAAAATAATATACAACTTAATATTGTTGTCAACATATTAAAATAACTGTATTTCACTTTATATTTAATTGAATTAAAATGTACAGATAAAATAAACATTGTGTCAGAAATACGGTTATCAAGTGTTTTTATATTTTGATTTCTACTTTGATAGGTAGGGGTTGAGTGTTCCATAGCAATGATAATAATGTTGCCTTACTTTGTTTTGGGTCAGATATCTATTTGTGGCAACAAATCGTCCACTATTCTATGCATAGTAAAACCCAGGTTATATAGCTTTTGGTCATCCATTACACTTTTAACAACCCAGATGCTGTTTTACTAAAACTATGCAATATTTTAAATAAACCGGGAGTGATCTCGAATATTCTTATATAAAAAACAGGAGATGGGAACTCGAGATATAGACATAAATTTTAATCCATTTTAAATAATTAAACTTTTTAAAATAGAATAAAATCTCGTAGAAAATATAATTGCACACCAGTGAACGCCAAATAAAATGTGCATAATAGTGCGGAATATTAATAGTACTTTATAAATCTGAAATAGCGTAAATTAGTACTTAGTGTCTGTGTGTCTGTGTGTCTGTAAACACGATAACTTGAGTACCATTACAGCTAAGTTGATGAAATTTCATATATGAGTATTCTTTAAAAATCGTAGATCCGTAACAACTTTTGAGCCATTTCCGATAACCGGAAGTAGTACTTTTTCTACTTTGAATTTTTTAAAGGCCTATTACTTGAATACTATTTGAGATAGATATATGAAATTTCACTTGTAAGTACAAGATCTAATTTTCTACCTTCTGTCAAAATTTTGAGTAATTTCTGTTGATCGGAAGTTGACCGGAAGTAGTAATTTTTTCTATTTCCAATTTCTCAAAAAAATAATTTAAATTTATAAAGTACTAATAATATTGCGCACTATTATGCACTTTTTTTATTTGGCGTTCACTTGGTTTGCAATTCTTTTTTCGATGAGATTTTTATTCTATTTTAAAAAAGTATTTAAATTGGATTAAAAATCATGTCTATAGCCCGAGTTCCCATCCCGTTGTTTTATACTAAAAAATTCGAGAAAGTTTAGGGGAGATCACTCCCGGTTTATTTTGTTTTTCATATTTGCATAAACATGTATACTAACAGGTCGAATTTTCTTTTTTTCTGTCTCAATAATAAAAACAAAAAATAACTCAATACAACTATCATAAGAAAAAGTGGAATCATGCTGCTATAAAGGCAGACTTATCACTATTTAAACTTGCTACATTTGAATACTTACTATACTTTAAAAATAAAATAAACATTGTAATACATGCTATTATCTATATACTACTAAAACTCAAGTTTGTTTATATGTTTAAATATTTATTTGTTTGTTTGTCTGATTAACTACTGTTTAGGATCTACGCTATATGCAAAACTGTAAAATAGTATGTAGGTAGAGAACATTTTTTGTTTTCAGACTGATAATCACAAATTTATTTAAAGACGTTAATTAATTTATTGATTTATTCATAGGTAGATTAACCACATTAATTTTAAAATTTTAAAACATTGACTAAACTTTGTGGGAATAGTGACGTCACATGATGTGTTTCATTTTTAGTACAATAAATGGCGACTTCATTCCAAGATTTTGTTGCAGATTCAGATGTTTAACGCATTCTTAAACTAATTTTCTGTCGGCTATAACTTTAACAATACGTCCGTTTGCTATTTTATTACGTTTCAACACTATTATCTATGTTTTAACATTTCTTTTTATTTTATTATACAATACATTTAATTTGAAACAATTCTAGATCTAATTCTAGGGCTGATTCGCGTAGATTGTTACGCCGCTTAGAAGTAAAATATATAAGTTATTAACTTAGAAAGCGAAGAGGTTAGCGCTATAGTTTACCATGCGGGTGACATGGATTCTAGTTGTGAATGATAATGTTGCCTTTGCCTATTGGAACGTAGCGGGATACAGGGCAGGTGAAGTAGAGTTCACCTGTTTCTTTTTCCTCAGTATATAACGTGGATAGCGTCGTCAGAGCCATGCTTGGCCTGAATCTTCTTTTTTAAAAAGATAAAAGATGTTGTCTGAGACTTGGCGGAACACTTGGCAGGTGAAGTAGTGTTGGGTAGGTGTAAAGTTCACCTGTGACGACAGCATATGAAGAGATAGTGTGGTCAGACTCACGCTCAGACAAAATCTGTGTTTTCACAGACAAAAACATGTCTGAGTTGGGAGGACAATGGGCAGGTGAAGTAGAGTTGACCTGTTTTTGTGACCTCAGCATATGAAAAAGATTATGTTGTCAGACCCACGCTCAGACGAAGTCAGTGTTTTAAAAATACCAAAACTTCTGAGATGTGACGCCTTTTTGAATGTGGGGTCTGGTTATTTTGTGATGATTAGTGACAGACGTGATGTCATTTATTGATGACCCCCGAAACCCACAGTTATCTAACTAGATAAAGGGTAGTCTAGTTAGTCTTAAACCTAGGATTCTGCTAAGGCCAATATAGAGAATCGACAACAATAGACTTGAAAAACTGGTTTCAAATGCTTCCAAATGTTTGTTGCCAGAAAGCATATTTTCAACCACAATTGAATATTTTATAACATTTGTGTAATAAGTATAAAATTATTTCGGTTTTATTAAGGCAAGAAATAGTCAAATAAATAATTACTAGTAATATAATAGTATTTTAGCAAACACTTTTATTTTTATTTTGGATTAAAAGAGTCATGGTGTTGGGGTGATTGGGAATGTTACATTATGTAATAGAAATACAATACTACGCTATACACCATATATCTCGATTTTGTATTTTTATCATGTAAATCAACTGTTCTTACTTGTATTCTAGTAGAGGTTGAGGGCAGTTTTTGAATATATTGATAATGTAATTCTAAACGGCTTTTCAACGGCTTATATTCGATACAAAAATATAAAAATTCATGTAATCATTGATTCCCAAACGGCTTTAATTTTTGGTTGCCATATTTTTAAAAAGACTTTTTAAATTTTAGTATGATTACATAATTCTTTTATGCCAACTGAGTTAGGCTTCTGGTACAGTTTTTTTTAAAAGTTTGTTGTTGATTATAGGAAATATGTCTAGGTTCTTGACGATGAAATTTTGAGTTTTACTAGTATGCTATGCGATTCAATGTCAAAGGATAAGGTTAGATATAAAATTACATTAAATGAACATATTAGTGTTGATATGGGCAAGGATATGGTTAGATATAAGGTTCCATTAAATGAACTTATTAGTGGTTATATGGGCAAGGATATGGTTTGATACAAGGTTCCATTAAATGAACATATTAATGGATATGGGTAAGGATATGGTTAGATATAAGGTTACATTAAATGAACATATAGTGGTGATAGGGGCAAGGATATAGTAAGATATAAGGTTACATTAAATGAACATATTAGTGGTGATATGGGCAAGGATATAGTTAGATATAACGTTACATTAAATTAACATATTAGTGATGATATGGGCAAGGATATGGTTAGATATAAGATTCCATTAAATGAACTGATTAGTGACGATATGGGCAAGGATATGATTAGTTATAATGTTCGATTAAATGAACATATTAGTGGTGATATGGACAAGGATATGGTTAAATATAAGGTTATATTAAATGAAATTATTAGGGGTTTTTATATTGACAAGAATATGGTTAGATACAAAGTTACATTAAATGAGAGTTTTAGTGGTGAAATGGACAAGGATATGGTTAGATAAAAGGTTACGTTAAATGAGAGTTTCATGGTGATTTGGGCAAGGATATGGTTATATATAAGTTTACATTAAATGAAAGTGTAAGGGGCGATATGGGCAATGATATGGTTGGATATACGTTTAAGCCCTGCTAAGGGGGGGGGGGTAACTAAACGCTACCCTTCTAGGCTTATCTATCTAACTACTGTCTAATTGAGAACTAGCAACTTAAAAATAACGTGTAAAGCAAATTCATTGTAGAATCAATCTTTCCTACACAAGGAGCAGCCCGAGCCATCGGTCTACCTATACAACATCCCTATTGATAACATTGAAGTTAACACACTGCGCTAGGGCCCCAATAAAGGCCAACACCAAGCTAGTGACTCAACATGACATTGCGCGAAACAGCACACACATTAATTTTAAATAACCTAAAACTCGATGCAACTAAAATATACTTATTACTGTCTAAAACAACCGACTATTGACTAAGCCACTCCTAGTCAATAACAACACATCATATTAAAGTAAAACAATCAAGTATATGCACACACTTGACATGTTGTTTTATTTGCAAAAATGTCTAGAAAAAATATTACATTTGTATTTATTAGTTATAGTGAGCAAAAACATAAAATCGAAACTAAACAAAAGGCTTAATTTTTTAACAAAACATACTGATTTGATCTTTACTAATTATTGTTGAGTTTTTGACGAATACGGAAAACATCAATTCAACAAAACGGCAAAAACATTCTAGAACCTAATTACGACTAGTTAAAGTGTTCAGGAGCAGAATGTTTCAATTCATTATAGATATCAACGAATCAGACATCTCTTTAAAATTCAATAAACATCGATATTTTCAGTAATCCTTGGTCCTAGTTTTCCATTTTAGAAGATTATTCTTGAGTAAAATTTAGGCGTGGATTTGAGGTACTAGATAAAAATAGCAAATTTTCATTAGGTAATGCCAAGGGTAAGAGAGTAACGATTTAATTTATAATTAATGTATTATTAAAACGACAGATTGAAATAAAAAGAAATTACCGACTGGATAAAATAAGCATCAATGCAATAAGACAAAGCATGAAGACCAAAATGATAACGAAAAGCTCCTCCCATGACAGTGAACTGGTTTGTTGCTCGGAGTAAAACAGTGGTTGTATCTTAAAGTTCTCATCCGTATTGTTTGGCAACTTATGTGTTGTGTTTGCTGAAAAAATATTTTTTGTGCATATTTTTTAAACATATTTATGTCTATGTCTTTAGCTATGTCTAATTCTTTTCTGTATCTGTTTTTGTCTATGTATGTCTTTGTCGATGTCTATGTCTATGTTTTTGTCTATGTCAATTATTGTGTCTACGTTTGAGTCTTTGTTTATGTGTGAATGTGTATAAATTTATACATGAACACACGTGTGAACACGGGCACATGCATGCTTACACACGCACACATACACCATAGACATGAGCATAAACATATAAGTATGTAGTATAAATGTAGCTGTATGTATAAATATAAGTTTTAGTGTGAGTTTGTGTGAGTGTGCGTTTTTATGTGTGTGGTTATGGGGTTATGTGTGTTTGAGTTATTTCATATGTTTAAATCGATGTGTTTTAGTTTTCTATTAAATATATAAAGATATTTTAAAAGATATTGCTCACATTATCAGTGAAGCAAGTTTGTTCAAGACACTTACAATATAGACAATAGTCCCCAGATCGTCCAGGAACACACAATTTGCAAACACCTGTAAACTGGCACTCTTGGTTTTTGCAGGTCGTCATACATATATGGTTACAGTTTATGCCGTATCTACGATTCGTGCAATCTGTCAATCATGTTATATTTATTGAAACAAAGTAACAATATAGAATATGTATTCTTTGTAAACAATCCAATTTAATTATATTTAGTTGGATTAAGTTGATAATAACACCATTACTTAAACCATGATAAATAAACATGATAAATGAAGAAAGAATAAAACCTGAAGACCCATTCATATTTTTGAAAAATATTTCGCGTGTTCTGAACCTTAACGTTGTATAAAACAACCGTTACTTTATTTGTTTTATACATTATCATTTAATCTACCTTTCAGGCTAAAGGAGTAAGTTTGTTATAATTTTTACTTTTTCGAATCAAATGCTACGACAAAGTTTAATAAATCTTTTGATGGCTTGTTAGGTTTAGCAAATTCATTTTATTCACTACTATTATGCTTAAAAAAAGTAAACAACCGATATTAACTGTCAATAAAAAAAAGTTCAAATCAACTAAAATCATCGTACATACTATTCAAATTTCCCTGTAAGATATTGTGTCTGAGATATTTTGTCTGAGATCATTTGTCCATGATATCGTTTGTCCTGATATATTTTGTCCTGGTATCTTTTGCCCGTGAGATCATTTCTCATGAGATCATTTGTTCTGAGATCATTTGTTCTGAGATCATTTGTTAGTGAGATATTTTGTCTGAGATATTTTGTCCGGGATCATTTGTCATGTAACCACATATAGTATTGTGTATGTGTTTATGTAAATGTTTTCTTTAAATGTACACATCTGTTTACCACCAAAGGCTTGTAATTCACACAGTGCCATAATCTCGCTTGCAATGAGGACAATTTTCGTGATCATTTCAATTCTTTCAATATTTAACGTATAAGGTATAGAAAACTTGTCGATTGCAGCTGCAAATACTAATTCATGTTCATCGTTGTACAGTTCGACTTTAAATTTGTGCATTGATGTGTTCAAATTTCCTGAAAAAAAAAATTCAATTTATAATTGAGAATTGAGAATTTCCTGTTATAAAACATTCGGTTTGAATTTTTTTTTTAGATAAATCTAAGTATAATATTCCAGCTTATTTAGGGTACTTCCCGTAGACTTATTAAAATTAACGCTTTCAGGAAATATCTTGGCATTGTTTCAAAATTGACTAAGTAGTAATAATTTATGTTATAAGCATAGCAAAATTTTGGTAGCAGTAAATACGCGACTTTTAAGAAAGTAATACTAGATGTGTTGAAAATAGGTTTAGTTCTAAAAATTCTAAATAATTAAAAACGACAATTTTAAGCTCCGGTTTTTGTATATAGTATTCTACAAAGATTTTATAACCTTTGTTTATTATTTAGAAACATTGTTCAATTACAGATTAACAAATATTTTTACATATTTTTTTAAAGATTCGTTTCATACATAGCTGTAATCTAATTATTACTATTTTGAAAACTTAAACAGTGTGTCTTTCATTTCTTATTTTTTGGTAAATACATTTCTTTCCCTTCGTTTTAGAGATAAATTCAAATTAAAATACTGAATAAACATTTTAAAATTGTATTTTCAATAAGCCAGAATATAAATATAAGCATTTTAGGTTGTAAAACGGGTACGATTTTAACTACCAATTTTTGAAAACGTATGCAAAATTACGCAGTTCTCTTAGTTTATTATACCATTGCAAGAAATACAAATTCTTACCAGTGGTAAAAATTAAAATTTGAAATATTACTCTCGGCCAATCAAAGTTAGATTCCCAAATGATCTCTTGCCCTGGTTTAATAATGGTGAAACAATCGATGTCTTCTTCTTCATTATCGAACACCCCTAGCAAGTCTGTATTATTCAGCGGAATACGTAGGCCATTCGAATGAATTTCTATGCGTGACTCTTTTATAACATTTCTTCCTGTTTAGATGTTACATTGAGTTTTTGAGCATTTTCAAAAATATAATAAATTATAAATAATGGAATTATTACATTGTAGAATTTTTTTAAAAATCACGAATGATTTAATAACAATACTAATAATAACAATAATAATAACATTTATAATAATAATAATAAAAATAATAATAATAATAATAATAATAATAATAATTAATAATAATAATAATCATAATAATAATAATAATAACAATAATAATCTGCACAATTAAAACAACACTAACTACAACAGCAAAAAAAACAACAATAACAATAACAGAAACAGCGAAAAAAGAAGCAGCAGAAATAGTAACAACATTAATAATAAGCATAAGTACTTATTATTTCATCAATTCGAATAAAATTAATTTTATAGCACTACTTACCGCCGTTTAATCTGACTTGACAAACGGAAACAAATGAAGTAAAGTTTATGTTTATTTCAGTCACAAATCTATCTTTGACACAATCGATCCCCATAGTAAAACTATCGATCCAGTAGGTCAATATCTTTTCACATTTTATTATGATTCCATCCAATGATTTCAATGAGACAGTTACATTGACAAGGGTGCCTAAAGTATAATTAGTAGAAGTATAAAGTTATTGCATTAAAACACATTATTGCTCTACATAGTGTAAAGGTGGCTAAGAAAAAATAACCGAAAGATATTTTTCCGAATGTGTCTAAAAAGTCGTTTTCCCGATTGCCACAATATCCCACCTACATAATCTAGACCGCAGTGCTAATATATATATATATATATATATATATATATATATATATATATATATATATATATATATATATATATATATATATATATATACCCTCAGGTCTTATACCTGAAGTTTGTTTTTCAGAATTAACGTTTGCTTTAGTGCGCCCTGGTGTGATTAGTTAACAAATGGGCTTTTGCCATAATAGGAAATCAGCCCCCAATTTTTTTTTAAAACTTACTCTTTTCTTGGAACCTGATCATTACAGATTTAAAATATAGTTCATCGATAAACTTCATTTGAATATTATTAGCTTCGGAACAATTTTCGGCTTCTAGTTATCCAGATGGAAGCGTTTCATATTTCATAGAGGTAAGCTCTCCTGAATAAGCAAAACATTTAAAATAATTAAATGAACAATGAATCAAGAAATGAACGAACCAACTTATTACCAATTATTAGTTAATAATCAAATATATATATATATATATATATATATTTATATATATATATATATATATATATATATATATATATATATATATATATATTTATTTATTTATTTATTTATTTATTTAATTGTTTATATGTATATACATATATATGTCTATAGTATATATATATATATATGTATATATATATATATATATATATATATATATATATATATATATATATATATATATATATATATATATATGTATATATACTAGCTCCGCCACGGTAAATCTTTTTTAAATGTACCAAATTGGGAACAAAACAAAACTAAACACAACATATATATATATATATATATATATATATATATATATATATATATATATATATATATATATATATATAAATATGTATATATATATATATACACATATGGACACCTGTACGAAATAAGTTATGTAGAGTAAAGATTAAATACTGGAGGTTTTAATTCTTGTTTCAGTGTATGTAATTTCAGTGTTTATGAATCATAATGCATAATACTCACTGTAAAGGCAATGAGGACCATACCAGTCCTCCATACAACCATCAAAAGAAGAAATATCTGGCAATGAAAATATTTTAAAAGATATATATTAAGGAATTTGTATTAAAAATTGTTTCGTACACTCGCTATTAGTACTATAACTTATGTGTGTTAATGGATTATGCCGACTTTTAACAATTCCAGCCAGATCTTGCAATGGACACTAAGTGCTTAGACCACCGGGCATTTGACGTTAGATGGTTTATCCACAGCGGAGCTGCGACCACTTTTGTAATTTTGATGATTTATAATATTAAGGTATATTAATTATGCATGGGACTCCACGTGTAAAGTGTACTATTCTATATCTACTACATCTAAAGTGGACGGTTTTTGTTAATCACACTTAAATTAAATCAGGTACTTACAGATAAGTTAGTACACTGTATCTTGTACTTTGTAATTGAGTCCACCATAATATTTATTTTGATGTGAAAAACTGAAAAACTGCCAGTTTCCCAACCATTAAAATGTCATGCTTATCCTTATTGATATGTACCACTTTTTTATTTGAAAATAAGCTATTCGTCGTTAAAAACTTTTAAAACCAGCTTTTATTTGTTAAGCAATATTTACTTTTGCATCTTCCATGGCGTGTCCAGAGCTGGCTAGCTTGACAAGTTATAGTTCTTTTACCTTGAACTTTGTAGCCAGTATTACATAACATTAAGCAAACACCTTCAAATTCATGGAGGCAAGAGCTCCAGTGGCCATTGGTTATAATAGGCGGTGGATCACACGGAACTTCTGCAAAATGTAAATTAAATAATTAGCTCAAACGATTAATGACTACAAGTAGTCAAAAATATCTACCCAATGATGTGAAACAATCAGAAATTAAAGTCGTTTAACACACTAGACATCAATGTGTTAGGTCTTTTTACTTTTTAGTCATAAATAATGTTTAAGTGAAATCTATGTATTAAATTCAATTTTGGAGTTAATCAATGGGTATGGTAGCGTGTAAAATAAACCGGGAGTGATCTTTCCTAAACTTTCTCGAATATTCTTATATAACACTACTGGCGATGGCAACTCGGTATATATATATATATGATTTTTAATCCATGTTTAATTATATAAACTTTTTAACATCGAAAAGAATCTAGACAAAATAGAATTGCGTACCAAGTGAATGGCTAGCAATATGCGTATAATAGTGCGGAATATTATTTATACTTTATAAATTCACATGCGTTTTTTAGAAATTGGAAAAAACGTAAATTACTACTTCCGGTCCACGGAAATTCCTCAAATTTGACAGAGAATTAGTTTGGTTTACTTTTATGTGAAATTGTGTTTATCTATCTGAAAAAGTAATCATGTTTAAACCTTTTGAAAAACTAGAACTAGAATAAGTCCCATCTCCGGTTATCGGAAATCGCTGAAAAGTTAATACAGAACTACAAATTTTATATAATACTAATATATGAAATTTCATCAATCTAGCTATAAAGGTACTCAGGTTGTCTTGTTTTCAGATATAAATGTACATAAACATACAGACATAAGGACAAAGCCCAGTTTTTTCGATTACGCATAAAACGCCAAAATTTTGATGTACCTCGATTTATAAATTTTGCTTGATTAAAATAAGTCCCATATAGGCCTACTCTGTATGTGATGAGTTACTGAGGTATAAAATGGAGAAAACTGTCAAAATTTCATATGACTTTTGTGCACGATTACAATACTTCCTCTATACATTTGTATACAATAAAGTAAAAATATCTTTTTGCAAATTTTGGTATTTTTGTTGTTGTAATGTTAGCTAAATACCATGAGACTTCTTCCAGAAAATTGGCACAATTTAAATTTTAGTATATGCATGATCACACGTTATGTTTCGATAATTATGGTTTTAGAAAGTCGGATATGGTTTGTGATAGGGATGGTGTTTTGATAACGAAAAATTGTTAATTTGTGTTTTCCTACTAGAGCCACAGTCATCTCTTTTGTATCCCACAGCACTATAGCCGCGACGCAGTGAAGGCGGCGCGGCGTCTTGCTACATTTTAAAAAATACACTTTTGTCTGATTTAGTGTGTTAAATCCTGAGCTGCTGTTGGGTGATCATTTTACAAACGAATTAGAAACAGTCTTAGCGGCGAAATTAAAACACTACATACAGTCGCTGATGTTTTACTTCCATTCAACACACCTTATTTATACGATGTGCTAAAGCGATTACGCAATAAAGAAAGTGAGATTAACTTTATAAAACTTTGAGATAAAATGGTATTTTGTTGTTCTAAAAAAGAAGAAAGAATTTGTTTACACTTTCCATAATGCAATTACAAAATTATTAAGTATATCTACTTTGTAACATATAATACTAAAAAGCTATGCTTTATGTTTTAAATTTTGTTGATTATATTGATTATCATAAAGACAAAGTCATATTTAATTTATTAATATCTTCCACTAGGCAATATAAGATATTAAAACTTTTTCGGTGAAACGGCCTTCGGGCAAGTGGCTTTCAAGCATTTGTCGCATGAGGGCAAGTGTCCATTAGGGCATTTGTCGCATTCGGGAAATTGTCCATTTGGGCTAGGTTGGTATGTGGTTTAAGAGAGTGGTGTGGGGTGTGGTTTATGGTGTCGAGAGTGTTGAGATGCGTTCTTTTTATAATCTCAACTTCATTCTTTTTAATCCCTGATTTTTTAAATCACTGTTTATTTCAAGAGAATCTTTAAAAAAACAGTTTTATACATAGTATAAAACAAATCATTAATACTGATTGCCAATGAATATAAATGACATTTCTGAAGCTATTTGTAGCTATTTTCAATATATTTACCGATGAATCTACATGTTTTATAAATGTTTGTAATTTTTAAATGAATTAGTAGTTTCATGAATAATGAGTTATGTTTGTTCTTAGTAGTTGTTACGAAACGTTGAAGATTTAGCTATTAGTTATCTGATATGTCATATATATATATATATATATATATATATATATATATATATATATATATATATATATATATATAAACTGTTTCTATAAGTTTTATTAAAGTAATAATATAACAAGGTATGCATTATTTGTTTATAATTTTTATAAGTTTACTGAATGTAAACACCAATCTACTTACTTCACTCTATTCCAAATTACCCTTTATGTCATGTATGGGAAGTGTTATGTATGAAGAATTTTGTATAAATAAATCAATAAATAAATAAATAAATAAATATATATATATATAAATATATATATATATATATATATATATATATATATATATATATATATATATACATATAATATTTAATTCCTTACTTAAGCTACAATCCTCTCCTTTGTATCCCACAGCACAACCTGATGGACATGCCCCAGTAGATGGCATACAGGAATCCTTGACATTTCTACAATTACATATTCTGTTGCATTCTAGACCAAAATATTGGTGTTCACACTTGTTATCTAAATAGCAGAATTAATTATTGATAGAATAGAATAAGTTAATAAAACATGTACAATTTTTAGTAAAGACAAGTAAACGGTTGGTTTTGCTTGATTAATTGCATAACATGTTAAATGTTGTTTCTAATATTTAAGGTCGGTTCCTAAAGAAATTATAAATTTGTAATGTGTATGGTTAAATGAATCTTATGCTAAACAAAGAATGTTTTTTTAGTTATTCAGACTGTACTATGTACTTCTTGTCCTAAGTGGAAAATGTATTTGATGTTTGCTTAAAAAAAAATTATTAATTTCTAAATTGATTCACTCGACTGTTTAAACTCGCTCCCATACACTTTTTCATCATTTCATTCAATACTTTTACCCCCCATTAAAGATTTACAATAGGATCATGTAACAAATTTCATTTTCTACCTCCAAAAAGTTCAACTTCACACAGTGTTATAACTTCAACTTTTGTCAAATAAATCTGCACATGATCAGCAAGAACACCCTTTATACTCCAATGATAAATTTCCTCCCCATGTTTTCGAGGATCTCTGTAGATATGTTGTAATAATCCACTTTTTCTGTCTAGGGCTTCTAGTACAAATCCAGCCAGAAGTTCCGGGTGTTTATCTGGAAAAAAGGCGTGGTCTTTGATGTTACTTTTAAAAATTTCGATTTGTAATTTAACAAGGTATGGGGAAAGGATCTAGAAAAAAAAACCCACTAAAATTCTGATTTTTTGTTAAAATAGGTTTCTTTTACTTTTTGTTTGTTTGTCCATTTCTTAATTCAGAAATAAGAAAAAAATTTCTAAAGTTAAAAAAAAATATTTATATGAGCACATATGTAAAATATAATCATATTTCCCCATTATTACACGTTAGCTACGAACTGTTTTATACCCGCCTTCATATTGTATGTGGTATCCGTTATTTGTAATTTCTTTCGAATCGGACACATCTAAAGCTTCCAAATGAATTTACAAATCACACAGAACTTGTATGACCTAGATTCTGATAGTTTTTCCTGTTTTTCTCAGTTTGAAATATTTTAACAATAAAGCCTACTACTTTTTAAATTCCCACCATATTCTTAGTACTTATTCTTAATGTAATAAAACTTTTTCACGAGGGAATTTTAACAGCTTTCAAAGATAAAAACGTTTATAGTAAAAAAATATGCACATTATTCAAATTTTCGAATGTTAAGTATAGTGTAATACTAGCCGTCCCGGCCAGGCCCTGCTCTGGCTTCTGTGAAAAACCTTTCTGTTAAAGACCATTACCTGTGTGTTTAGTAATCATCATAAACCCGGCATTGCCCACCCAAACCACAACCAACCAAAACCAAAACAACAAAACGCAAACATAACGCTAACACAATTACAAATACAAACGAAAACAAAAACCTAACAACAAACCCAACCAAAAATACCAATACAAACACAAAGAAATAACAAAAAAAGCAAACGAAAACAAAAACCTAACAACAAACCCAACCACAATCACCAATACCAAAACAAAAAAAAACAACGAAAAAGCAAACGAAAACAAACCAAATCCAAACGCAAAACCAACCTAAAACACAAATACAAACCCAAACAAAAAAACACAAACAAAAACGAAAAAAGAAAGAACAAAAACGAACCAAATCAAAACGCAACCACTAACGCAAACCCACCTAAACACAAAGAAAACACTTGCGCGAACATAAACGCCCGGGGCGGAATCACCTGTTTTAGCTTAATGAACGACTATAGTACCCCAACTTATTCATAGTCTTTTGCACTCACTTAAACGAACGCGCCTGTTTCAATTTAATGAACAATTTTAATACTCCAAGCTTATCCGTAAAATACTTACAACATTTGCACTTGATCAATCCCCGCTAATTATGTAATTATTTTTTTCCCAACACCAAAACAAAGTAATAAAAAGTAAATTCTTTTCCACTAATGCAATGGTTTTATAAAGGGAAGTAATTGTGTTTTCCTAATTTATCAAAGGGAAGTAAGTGCTATAGGACTAAATAAAGAGATAATTAGATTTTTTGTAAAAGATGATATTTTTTTAAAACTTGTGTTAATGAACATGCCGACAATTATTACTATAATTTGAAAAATGAAAATTATTTCCCAACACTTTCAATAGTAATTTTTTTAACTCATAAATTTAGACAAATGCTCACGATAATAGTCTAACACTTTAATCCATCGAAGTATGTCAACGACAAACATATGTATTTTTACATACAGAATTGAGCTTTATATATTAGATTTTGGACCTTGTAGAATTCAGAGCAATAGCCCTATCAAATCGTTGTCGTAACAAAAGTTTTAATATGTACTGAGATATTAGCAGTGTAAATTATATTGCTTTAACTACATAAAAAAAGCCTTAGCGTTTATAAAAGTGAGGAATAATTCAAAATGGCCGATGTTTTTTCGGGTTTCCATGATAACCGAATTTGTTTTTAAACTCCGTTTAGGTGCTTAGCACTTGCTAGAAATTAAAACTTTCTCATCATCGTAACAACTTGTCATTTGACTTAGCACAAAACTAACGCATTTCTATAGTGATCATTCAATATGTAATAAACATATCTTTAAGGGAATAAGCTCAGTTTGTTTCTTTTTTTTACTATTTAAAATCTGAAGCATTTAAAATAATTATGCCATATTTGGAACATTAAAAAAAGGCTGCAACATGTATATATCAGTGGCGTAACTACCGTAAAGCTAGCGTAAGCAAGGCATAGGGGCCCAAAGCATTTTGGGGCCATTTTCCCCCTTTAAAAAATTAAAACGTTTACATTGCAATTTCATTATTTGTTTTACATAAATAGTTTTAAAAAGAAAATGAAAATCCAGTTTTTTTTCTATTATAGAAATAATTAAAAGCCCCTAGTCATTCTTTACTTTACAAGTAGTGGGATTCAGTGTGTGTGTGTGTGTGTGTGTATGTGTGTGTTTGTGTGTGTGTGTGTGTGTGTGTGTGTGTGTGTGTGTGTGTGTGTGTGTGTGTGTGTGTGTGTGTGTGTGTGTGTGTGTGTGTGTGTGTGGAAGGGGATCGAACAGGGCCAATCCGTAATAATATCACTTCTGGCGTTGCCGCATGGTCGTGCAAGCCATTGAGAGATTTAGCCTATAAACAAACTTGAACTGCCTCTTTTGTGAGTTCGGCATCCAGCATCCGTAAATTTACGTTTATTGCTACAAACCTCAACTAACTGGGAAATTCCCTACCCCACACCGGAGACCTGATCCTCTCTCCCAACCGTCTGCCCTCCACGAAACTATATCTTACTAAACATCCATGCTAACAATTGAGCCATTAAAAAAAAAATTCATAGTTCCCCAGCGGCTATTTTTTGCACCTGTGGTCCGTTGATTGGGTGTCCGACACTCGTAGGTGGTGTAACCCTGTGCGTCCCATGAGCTTTACGGCGCCTATTTTATTGAGCGCCATACATTAGGGATACGCTGACATACTAAAATTGATTACTTAATCGAATGAAGGGGTGTCCTCCAGCACATCAGCAGTAGTAACGGATGGGTGTCCTGAGTTCCCCAGCGGCTACCTGAGTACACGAGATCCATAGATTGGGCATCCTGCAAGGTACTACTTGATTCAATGGTCAAACTGCAACAGGTGCAGCTTTTGACGCCCTCGGCGTACTGATGCCAATTTTTGACAACAATTACACATGTATTCTACATTAGGGACACGGTGGTCCTCTACGTACGATGAATAAAACGAAACAAATGTTGCATCTGATTTCCTACGGTAGTGTAACTAGTCACTCCCGCGACGCCCCTGACACTCAGGCGGTCGCCGAAAAGTATTCAACGCACTATTACAGAAATTAAATAACGTACACTCAATGCTTTCATACATCACACGCAAGTGCATCTGAGCAGTAGAGTGGACCAACCCGCGCCCCGAAACAACCAGCAGGGGTGTTGTTTACATTTTAACTAGGCCTTTCTTAGTTTTAAAAAACAAGTTCACATGACTAAAAATATGCACTAGGTAACACTTTGATGAAACCTTTAAATATAGTTTTATTACCATGGTAGGTGGGACTAGATCGCAGCAGCTCGGACGGGTACACTAGTTAGTTTAAACATTCTTTAGCATTCCACGGAGATCGGGAAGGAGATTTTGATGTCTTTGATGGATTTTTAAATGTAATTATTTGCTCATTATGATAATGTTTTTTTATTATGAAACAAATTGTAGATAAGCCCATTCGGCCAGTAGCTTGGCTATCCTAAACATCAAACATTCAAAAGCAGCTAAAGTAGATCTCAATGAATTTATTAATCATTTTAAAAAATTTAAAGTATGGGAAAAAAAACAGATCTAAATAAATCATAAGCAATTTTATTTAAAATTGTGCTTGGTTAGTGGCGTCAAAACGTGGCGTTTACTAAAGGTTTCACTCTATCATTCCCAGCAATTTTACATTTCACCCCACTCTCATTAATCTTTTATTATTTTACAATAAATTTTATGTTTTGTCAAAGTATCAGGCATAAATGTTGTCATCAAATGCGGACCGCACCTCTGCCCACACTCTTAAATCACGCTACTGTATTAGATTACTTGAAAAAAACAAATTAACTGTAAGCCCGTAATATGTTTTTTTAAAATACATAGTAATATAGTATAAAACATTAAATGTACAGAATATTTATATTATTTAAAATCCTTTATCATGATTAGCAGTTGATTTATTCGTTTAACTCCATTGAAGCCTAACGGCTGACGAAGTGGCACACTGATAAGTTTTGCATAGGGGCCCAAATATCCTAGCTACGCCACTGGTATGTATATATATATATATATATATATATATATATATATATATATATATATATATATATATATATATATATATATAAAGTCTTGCAAACGCAGAACATAAACTTTGCAAATCATTACACATAATAGAATCACATATTAACCATTAAAAGCTAAATAGATAAATAGAACTTTAAAAGTTATTTTAATTTGATTTTTGCACGATATTAAATACTGTATGTTTTCGTGAATATAGAAAATTCTCACTTTAGCCACTTTGCATTTAATCGTTTCCCTCCAAAAAAAAATAGCAGTAAAACTTACCATCGAAAAGTCAACTAACGCACTTTTAAAAATGACCAACAATTCTATAAAATATACCTCTGTTCCAAATTTTAATTCGTTGTAAATTCATTTTTCTCTCAAAAAGCAAACTCCATTTAGCATTATTCCTTTCCTCGTCTCTAGTACCCGTGTGCGAACAAGTTCGATTTTCCAAATTTTGTAAAGTGTTTCCGTCTACCGCCAGGTCGGAGTATAAGTTCTTGTAAGCGCCAGTTTGGTTCGTGTGTTGTTTTAAAGCCACGTTGCGACCTGAGATAGAGGTGATAGCATAAATAAGTTGATGTATGCATCTAATCGATACGTCAGTACTCTGATTGTGGTTATTTTATTTTTTTTAAGTTTCAGACCTGAGATGAAGTAAATTGTATGTACGTATGTATGTGTTTTCAGCATATGCGATGTAGTTTTGTAAGTTCCATGCTCAGCAGCTTTTGCTTTCCCTAAATTAATAGATACCAGTCGGGGATGAATGAGATAAGGCACGTCCTACAGATTTGGGTCAGGTACCTGAAGCAGTTACTTTTGGGACAGAAGTCGTGTGCTAATACCCACCTTCTCCCCTCAACCTTATCCAAACCATCACATAGAAAAGTATTCAAAGTAACCGAAAATAAAGGGAAAAAATATTTTC